CTGTTAAATTTCTGTTGTGTTTCATGTATGAGGAATACACATGTTTTTCAGTCAGTATTTAATGCAACTGGCAAAATAAATTGTTAAAATATTTATGATGTGCTTCTGTTTTTTAATTCAGGAGATTATAAAACAAAATCCTTCATGTTATGAAAAGACCCTCTTGATTCAAGAGAAAACTCAATTTTTTAAGAAAATGGCTGCTTATCAAATAATTGTTAGTCAATCTATAAATTAAGTTCAGATTAATTAATTAATCAATAGCTTGCATCCCTAATTTATACAGGAATGAAATTTATTTATATCTACTTATATTTATATAATTAAGCATTTTAATGATTTGGCCGATTAACTGAAAAAATAATCGACAGATTAATCGATCATTAAAATAATTGTTAGTTGCAGCCCTATCTGTAAGGGTTCACAAAGGCTGGCATTATCAAAACAGTGATCGGTTTATTATCATGTTTGCATTTGTTGTGTTTTTCAAGGTTTTGTTCCAGTGTCCAATTTTAACTTTTCTTAAAGATGTACTGTGCTACAAATAATACTTTGCAATTGTTTGTCCAATTAAAATGTTTTATAAACACAAATAGTTCTCTACAAGATATAAAAACACTGACTTCAGTCATCTCTTGGTTGAGTGTACAAATGCCTGTGAYGCTGCAGAGAATATAAATTTCTGCCTGATGTGGTGCACTGTACATTTWCAGCCTGAGTGCCCTGAGGGTTGTGTGATACTCTCTGTTCACTCAGCACGTTAGCCGTCATGAGAAAATTATAGAATCTGTGACATGGAATGTGACATAAAGCCCAAACTGCAGCAGCACAGAGTGACTCACAGGATTTGCAAGAGTCATGCAGGGGAGGCTTAAGATGAAAATCTGTGTGAGTCGCTGTGTGACATTTCTGGGTTGCTTTAACAGATTCAACTCTCTTGGGAACAGATTCAAGTCACAAACATCAATGTTCTTTTTTTTTTACATTACAATTTAGGAGAGAGAAGTGTCCAAGAAGATAAATAATCCTCACCATGACCTCTCTGGTTAAAGATGAATTCTGTTGACTGGAACATAAGGTCAATCCACATCTTAATTCCTCTCAGGTTTTGTGAAAATCTATCACAATTAAATAGCTTTCTGTCTGGGGAAGGTATTTTAGGAGTAACTCAAATCACAATTTCAGGAGCCATTTTTTTTTTACAATGTTGGTGCATGGCAGTGTTCTAAGAAAACAAAACCATGGTCCTGAAAATACAGGTCTTATGTCTACAGGGCTTCCAAATTCCTCTAGAGGGCAGAATGCACTCATCTAAACAACTGGAAGTAAAGAATTTTGTTAACTTGTTAATCCTATATAAAACACAAAAGATATAAAAAATAACGTGATAGCCAGACATCTGCTGCTAACGTTTCAGGTCCGTTCTCTGTGTCCGAGGCTTAATTTCTACTCTGTGTTTCTGCATGTCTAATTAAGTGTTGTCAGTGAGTGGGACACAGTAGTGTTTATAGCATGGTGACGCACAAGTAGTTGGCACAGTTCCCCTAAAACACTAATAGGGGAACTAATTTCCCTAATTAAGGTGGCTGTGGTGGAATGGTTAAGGGATTTGTCTGATAACCGGAAAGTTGCCGGTTTGATCCCCATCTCAGTCGTTGTGTCCTTGGGCAAGACACTTCACCCGCAATGCCTACTGATAGTTGTCAGTTGCCGGTGCATGGCAGCCCCGTCTCTGTCAGTGTGCCCCAGGGCAGCTGTGGCTACAATGTGCACGGGTTGGACATTGAATCTGAAACATCTGGTTTTAGACCACAATCATTTATTAGAATGGTGCAGGGCCTCCTTTTGCGGCCAATACGGCATCAGTTCATCTTGGGAATGACATAAACAAGTCCTGCACAGTGGACAGAGGGATTTTAAGCCATTCTTCTTGCAGGATAGTGGCCAGGGGTCAGATTTATAAAAGACTGCGTGGAAACCATTCTAAAAGTGAACGTACGGCCAAAAGGTGAAAATGGCGTACGCCAAAAAAAATTCTGATTTATAAAACTGTGAGTATGCATGTGTCTGCACACCCGTCATTTTTATATCACAGCTTCACCTAAGAGTTTGCGCACAAGGTCCCGCCTCAAGTTCTACCCTCTACACGCCCACACTCAACCATAAAC